AAAACTGTGATGCGTCCTTTCTGCAGCGACGCCTTTCTGAATCTTCCCGGAGCTGCGAGTCCGGGTGGCGTCTGTCCCTCCGCCTGGAATGGCTTCTTCGCGGGTCTGCTTTGCCGGGGGAGACGGGCCGTGCAGCGGCCGATTCGGTGCGGGGATTCTCCGTAATGGTCCCGGAGCATACTAGTAACCGTTCCCCCTCACTTTCGCACAGCGATCACCCTCTAACACCTCCCTGCACCCCATTCCTGGCCCCATGCGTGACAGGGTTGGCAGCTTTCAGCCGGGAGCTAGATCGGTGGCCCGGCTCGTCCGAGCCTTAGCAGGCGTGACTGGCTGGGGTCACTGGCTGTCATTGGGAGCAGTATTTGGCCTCGCGGAGACCCTAGGGAGGAAGCGGCGGGGAGCGCGCTCGCGCACGCGCGCGTGTGTACACGCGCGTGTGCAGGGTCCCTCGGCGCTTTCCTTTTTAAGTGCCTCTCGGCGGTGAGGCTTTGGGGGGCGGGGGTGAGGCTCTCCCGACCCCGCTCCCAGCCCCACTTAGGCGGGGATAGAGCTGCAAGACGCAGCCCCTTCAGTGAGCCCCACATCCTCCGGCTTCAGGCTGCCTGGCCCGGGGCCCAGCCCAACGTACAGTGCGGAGAACCAGGTTCTCAGCGCGCTGCGCCCATAGCCCGGGAAGCTCGCCGGCGGCCGGGCACCGGCGGAGGGCTCTGCGGAGCGCCGCCGGGAGCTCCTCCCGGACCGCTGAGGCTCAGGCGGCGGGCGCGAAGGTTGGCCTCGCCTGGAGGGGGCGGACCCGCGAGGGGCCGGGGACTGTGAAGGAGGGGAGGGCGCGCGGGCCCTTTCACCGCCCTCTGCAGGAGGGGCCTCAGCGCTCACGTGACTCCGAGGGGTTGGAAGAAAAACAGAGCCTGTCTGCGCCGGAGTCTCATTATATTCAAATATTCCTTTTAGGAGCCATTCCGTAGTGCCATCCCGAGCAACGCACTGCTGCAGCTTCCCTGAGCCTTTCCAGCAAGTTTGTTCAAGATTGGCTGTCAAGAATCATGGACTGTTATTATATGCCTTGTTTTCTGTCAGTGAGTAGACACCTCTTCCTTCCCCCTCCCGGGAATTAACTCTGCCCTCACCACCCCTGCTCGCCGGCTGTCCCTCCCGTCGGACCTCCCTTGCAATGTCCACACTCCGCTCCCTGGCAGCACTGTCGCTCCCTTCTTAGCCCGGTAGCCAAGGCGCTCGAAGCGTACCAGTTCCTTTTAAAGTGCTGCTGGTGCACACTCGCCCTCTCTGGATTGCAAGAAAGGGGAGTGAGAGGGGACTGAAGAGATGAAAGCCCGGGGTTAATACCAAGAGGGCTAACCCCTCCCTTCTCCTACCCTACTTGCCCCGGGGAGCACCCAGTGTCTCCGTGGCACGTTCCCAGCCTCTTGTCAAAACTCACCGAGGTCTCCGGAACCGTCTCTCTTCCCTTCTCTGCGGGTGAGCGACCACGATCAGGCGCTTTTGGCTGGAGCATTTCAACCTGATCGCCGCAATAAAATAAGCCCTCAAGCCACTCGTTTAGTTCCCAGACCACCTTCTCGGATTCCGGACCCTGTCGCCCTCTATCTTCGCCCAGCCCCTGCCTCTCACTTTCCCGCCCTCTGGCTGCGAACCAACTGGAAGTTGTGAAAGTTGGGCTCTGAGGGTGGAGGAAAAGGGAGAGAAGCTGAAGGTCTAAAGTGGAGAGCAATGTCATTTTAATTCTCCCTCCCCCACCCCTTTTTACCCCCTCAATGTTAACTGTTTATCCTTGGAGAAGCCACGCTGAGATCATGGCTCAGATAGCAGTTAGGACAAAAAAAGATTAACAGGATGGAGGCTATCTGATTTGGGGTTATTTGACTGTAAACAAGTTAGACCAAGTAATTACAGGGCAATTCTTACTTTCAGGCCGTGCAGGGCTGCAGCTGGTGGGTGGGGGGGGGGGTGTGGTGTGGGGGAGAAGACACAAACTTGATCTTTCTGACCTGCTTTCCATCTTGACCCTCCATTTGTAGCCCTAAATGCATATGCAGAGACATCACTATTTCTCCCTATTTATTGTGTTTATTTATTCTCTAACCTTCCACCCCCTCCCCCTCCCCAGAGACACCATGATTCCTGGTAACCGAATGCTGATGGTCGTTTTATTATGCCAAGTCCTGCTAGGAGGCACGAGCCATGCTAGTTTGATACCTGAGAACGGGAAGAAAAAAGTTGCCGAGATTCAGGGCCACGCGGGAGGACGCCGCTCAGGGCAGAGCCATGAGCTCCTGCGGGACTTCGAGGCCACGCTTCTGCAGATGTTCGGGCTGCGCCGCCGCCCGCAGCCTAGCAAGAGTGCAGTCATTCCGGATTACATGCGAGATCTTTACCGGCTTCAGTCTGGGGAGGAGGAGGAAGAGCAGTTCCATAACACTGGTCTAGAGTATCCTGAGCGCCCGGCTAGCCGGGCCAACACCGTGAGGAGCTTCCACCACGAAGGTCAGTCTCTGCCCCCAGTCTGCGTGGGGGAGGGCTAGCAGGGCTGGCTACGGGGCAGTGAAAGCCCTCGGGAAGAAGAGTTCGGGTTACATCAAAGCCCCAATCTAGCAGGCTGAGGAACAGAGCTGCTTACCTCCAAGAATTTGCAGAGCTGTAGCCGAACTTATTTTTTGGAGACAGAGCGGGAGGTGTTCAGGGGAAGGGGAATGACAGCACTCAGACGTGGGCTCACCCCAGCGGTGTGTTTTTGCTATATCAAAGCCTTTTCTGCTGGATTTTCTGCCCGTTTTTTTCAAAGCACCTTCTGAATTTAATATTACAGCTGTGTGTTTGTCGGGTTTATTCAATAGGGGCCTTGTAATCCGATCTGAATGTTTCCTAGCGGATGTTTCTTTTCCAAAGTAAATCTGAGTTATTAATCCACCAGCATCATTACTGTGTTGGAATTTATTTTCCCCTCTGTAACATGATCAACAAGGCATGCTCTGTGTTTCCAAGATCACTGGGGAAATGTTTAGTAATACTCAATAGTGGAAGAGGGAGAGGGTGGCTGTGTGCATGTTTCCTCCTGCCTGTACTCTATTGGCCCCTCTTTTTCTTTACAACCACTTGTAAAGAAAACTGGACACAAAGCCAAGAGGGGGTTTTAAAAGAGGAGTCTGATAGTGGTGCCATACAGGAGTTGACACATGGAAATTATTAGAAATATCAAGGAGGCTGGTAGATAGTTTCTGTCTTTGGTGCTTGAGAAATGCTAGACACATTTTGCGGGTTTGCTAACTGCCCCACTTATATGCTCCTTCAAATTAAGGGGTATGCTTATTCCCCCCAGTAGGTTTCCCCCTGCATAAGCAGAATTCACCACTGATCATCCAACCCTGAGCTATCTCTTGACTTCCGTCTTTGAGAAAAGTTCATGTGCTTTTTCTTTTCCTCTTCCTTCCTAACTGTGCCTAGAACATCTGGAGAACATCCCAGGGATCAGTGAAAACTCTGCTTTTCGTTTCCTCTTTAACCTCAGCAGCATCCCAGAGAACGAGGTGATCTCCTCCGCAGAGCTGCGGCTCTTCCGGGAGCAGGTGGACCAGGGCCCTGATTGGGAACGGGGCTTCCACCGTATAAACATTTATGAGGTTATGAAGCCCCCAACAGAAGTGGTGCCTGGGCACCTCATCATACGACTACTGGACACGAGACTGGTCCACCACAATGTGACACGGTGGGAAACTTTTGATGTGAGCCCAGCGGTCCTTCGCTGGACCCGGGAGAAGCAGCCGAACTATGGGCTGGCCATTGAGGTGACTCACCTCCATCAAACTCGGACCCACCAGGGCCAGCATGTCAGGATTAGACGATCGTTACCTCAAGGGAGTGGGAATTGGGCCCAACTCCGGCCCCTCCTGGTCACCTTTGGCCATGATGGCCGGGGCCATGCTTTAACCCGACGCCGGAGGGCCAAGCGTAGCCCTAAGCATCACCCACAGCGGGCCCGGAAGAAGAATAAGAACTGCCGGCGCCACTCACTCTACGTGGATTTCAGTGATGTGGGCTGGAATGACTGGATTGTGGCCCCACCAGGCTACCAGGCCTTCTACTGCCATGGGGACTGCCCCTTTCCACTGGCTGACCACCTCAACTCAACCAACCATGCCATTGTGCAGACCCTGGTCAATTCTGTCAATTCCAGTATCCCCAAAGCCTGTTGTGTGCCCACTGAACTGAGCGCCATCTCCATGCTGTACCTGGATGAGTATGACAAAGTGGTACTGAAAAATTATCAAGAGATGGTAGTAGAGGGATGTGGGTGCCGCTGAAATCAGGCTGTCCTTGAGGATAGACAGACAGATATGCACACCACACACACCACACACACACACACACACACACACACTATACACACACGTTCCCATCCACTCACCCACACACTACACAGACTGCTTCCTTATAGCTGGACTTCTATTTTTAAAAAAAAAAAAAAAAAAAAAAGGAAAAAAACCCCTAAACATTCACCTTGACCTTATTTATGACTTTACGTGCAAATGTTTTGACCATATTGATCATATATTTTGACAAAATATATTTATAACTACATATTAAAAGAAAAAAATAAAATGAGTCATTATTTTAAAGGTAAATCATGGCTTTTTTCTCTGTAATCCTTTTTCTTTCCCTTCAGGCTCATCTCTTTTGAATGAGGTTTTTTTTTCTGTTGAGTTGAGTTGGAGGCTAGATGGAAGTCCAAAGGTGGTACCTGGAGGTGGTTAAGTTGTAGGGACAGGAAGTAAACTGTTGGCAAAGAGAGATGGTAATTGCCAGCATGAATTGTTTTCCATTTCTATTTAATGTTAACAAGGATGCAGTGTCCTCTCCCATCTGGATGACACATGCCTTGGAGAAACACTGGGAGGAGAGGAGTGTAGGTCTTTAGTCTGACCTACACTCCTCTCCTGTACATCTGTCTCACTCACCTGTTGAGGCGCATCAACACTGAGTGTGATGAGGTCTCAACTCTAGAAGAATGATTACCCACCTCTGTTTTTATGATACCTCAGGGCATCTCCAGTTATTCGGGCACCAATGTGATATTTCCAAATCAAAACTAATTTGTACACTGACATCTTAATGTGTGTGTGAAGGCATGTTTTTACTTTTTTTTTTCTCCACGGACTCTTTTTTTTCTCTAGGACTCTTGTTTTTTCTTTTGTCTTTTTTTAAACAGGTTCTCTCTCTGTTGCCCCAGGCTGGTCTTGAACTCCTGGGCTCAAGCAATCTTCTCTTTTCAGCCTCTCTGGGATTACAGGCATACACTGCTATCTTGTCTTTTTTTTTTTTTTGAACAAATAATGTGCCCTACCTTCAAAAAGTTTGATGACTACTAATTTAATATACCACATGGTAGAATTTTCCGTTGTTTTTTGACTTTTTCCATTGTCCTCTTTTCCCCAAGTGAAGATCCCAACAGATTGTGCTGGGTGGGGGTTGGCAATGGGGTCAGATAGTAAAGGGTCAGAATTTCTAAGCAGGCACTGTGAAGGTGTCCCACTATTATACAGCAATCTCTTGAGTCAAATGTCAACTCTCCTTTTCTCTTTGTGCTGCCTCCCTCACACCCTCATCCCTGCAGTTGGGTCAGAAAGTGGTAGATCTGATGTTCTGTGCCAGGGTTTCTTAAAGGAAAAAGCTCAATTTTTGGACAAAGTTAAAAAAAGGATGATGCCAACGTACTCTCAGTCAAGGGCTGCCAGCAGGCAGAGAAATGCCTTTCTGGAATGACGTGGATGTAGGGATTAAGAGGACCAGAGGAGAGGCCTTTGCTTTACTTGCCACCAACAACTAAATTAAGCTCTTGAATCTTGGTCAGTGCTGGCTCACTTCACGTGTGCATTTCTCAGCACATATACGAAATGAGCCAGCACAGACAGGATCCCTTTGGGGCAGAAATATTTAGTGTCTTTGTATGGTCTCTGTGGGGAAGGCTGATAGTGCCTTTCTCCATCATGAAAGTGCATTTCTCCATCATGAAGGTGTAGATATGAGCGGTAGTACTGTGGTTGCTGGCGGTGTGTGCACCCAGAGAATGTGTGTGGTGCACACTCCTGGCATTTGCATTCTTCTGTGTGTGGGGTATGCACCCTTGCATTCTTTTACACACACTCTTTCTTACATGTGCTCTTGGGAGTGGGGTGGGTGAAGCAGGATTCATTTTTGTTTTTAATTACTGAAGTCCTACACTCCTCCAAAAGGAGCAGCTTAGTGGAAACCAATAAAAATTGAAGCGGGGTGGTTGCCAAAACCCCAGCTCCCCGGAGAGCGCAGGTGGAAAGAAGAGATCAGAGCCCCAGGCAAAGGCAGCAAGACTCCACAGTTCCTCCAAAACTCCCCGCAAAAAGGGATCCTTCCCCCATCCCTCCAGCCCCCCAGGTCGCTGCCCCTTTGATTAATGGTATGGAGCTCAAATAAATCATTTAGGGAAGCCCATTATGGAGTCCCCTCAGGCATCCTCATTTTGTTTTGTCCAATTTCTAGCAACTTTCTGAAATGTCGATGTCATTGAAAAGGAACCAGTGGATCTCCAGCACTTGAACAAATTATCCTCGGGCCAGTACCGAGCCCTGTGGCTGTCCAGTTTCTAGCAACCAACCCTTCCCTCCATCCTCCCGTCTCCTACTGGCTTATTTTCAGGAATGGATAATGTTGTTTATTTGTTCAGCCAAATATTTGGTCTGGGGAATTTACCATGAAATTCTGTGAATTGCATATACCTAGTTAACAAAATAGTCCTAATGCCACAAATGTTAGCATGGAAAACAAAGAGCTATGGCCAGCGTTAACTCTTTAAATTCTGTTTGAAAGCTTAGTCCTAAGGCTCGGGGAGATTTAAAAAAAAAGGTGGGGGGATGTGTGAAGATTATTTAATTTAGGTTTTGGTATTTAATATTTTTGCCTAATAGTGCAGTACCTTAGGGAAGTCGTAAGGTGATTCTCGGCGTTGCTTTTGGATCAAGCCTACCATTTCTCCCGCTTCATGTTTTTTTTTCTTTCTCCAGAGTAATGTTCCTATTACTTAAAGAAAGATGAGGAAGGAGGCTCGTCCTTGAGGAGTTCCGCAAAGTCGTAACCACAAACGAAGAGGTGCTTGGTCGATCCCTACCCAACCCTTAAACTGGAACCAGCTTCCTAGGAGCTTAAGATTAAAAAAAAAGAAAGAAAAGGAAAGAAAGAAAAAAGTGGGGGGTGGGGTGGGGAGGGACGCATTAAACATTCCCCTGCTTTCGTTGCATAATTCGCCCGGAACCTGCCAGGTGACCTGCTGACTTTGTTTTCTGTCTTGACCGTGCTTCGTTCCACCAACCCCCTCGCCGCCTGGCTGCGCCACACTGAGAGGGCTCCGCGCGGCCGCGGCGCTGGCAGACCCCAATAGTCACCCGGCCTTGGACAGGCGTCAAGATCCGGCCCCAGTGGCCCCGCCTCCCGCCCGCTCCGGCGCTCTCGGGCCGGGCGGCGGCGGGGGCACCAGGGGGCGTCTTCCCTGCGGGGGACCAGGGGACCGTGCTTGTGGCGGCGGCGCTCAGGAGCCGCGCTGCGGGAGTCCACCCCTCCCCATCCCCGCGGACTGCGGACTACGGGTCCCACCGCCGGGACCCACAACCCGGCCCGCTCCTGCGCCCTCGGGGAGCCAGGGCTCAGGTGAAGCTCTTCAGAGAAAGACGTATCTCATTATCGCTCTCGGGTCCTCGGGGCGGTCTCTCGGCAGATTTCACGTGAAATTGGGTCAAACGGCCGCGCAGAAGCGTGGAGTCTGCCGGGCAGGCTCCTCATGGTGGAGGGGCTTAAGAGGGGCCGAGACCTTTAGGAGTTTTGTGTAGAGGGCGGAGAATTAGCGGGAATGAGGGAGTGAGGGTCTCCAGCCTCCGAGCTCACGGTGGGCCTAAATACCCGGGTGGCTCAACGGGAGCGGGGACGTGGAAGAGTGCGAAACAGGCCCGCTGGGTGAGGGTCGGGCGTGCGACAGGCCCAGGAGGCTGAGCTGCTGTCTCGGGCCCCTTGGGGACGCGGAGAGCCCTGGGTCCTAGCTGAACTGCCGCCAGGCCCCCGCTCCCAACAGTCGGGGGAGGGAGGGGAAAGAGAGGCCACCGGTGTGCAAGAGTGGAGTTGGCCGACGGCTTTCAGAAATGAGATCCAAGCCCGTGATGCAGAATGACAGCGCCTCAGTTGACCTCCGCAGGGCCTCTGGCCCGGGGACTCACCGTGCCCGCCCTCACTCCCCCTCCAAAGGTGAGCCAGGAGGAAAAAGCTTATCCAAGGTCCAGGTCTCCTAACTATTTGTTATCAAAGATACTTCAGCACAAAACAAAGTTTACAAACTATTCACATACTGTCTTCTGAAAAAAAAAAGAATAATGCAAGTGCAACGTTGGTGACCTTACATCACCTGGGAATCAGAAAGTTGTTAGTATTCCCTAGAGGAATTTAGGATAACTGATGGACTGCCAAATTAGAATTGATGCAGCTATTCAGGCTTACCATGTGATACAAACTAGCACAAGTCTGAAAACTGTAACTGGAAATTAAATTCAGAGTGGTTAGAAATGTGGTCTGGGTGGGATTGCAAGGATCCCATTTCCCTATGCATTTAGCACCTAATGGGAGAATAAACAAACAGTCAAAACTGTAGTGCTCACCAGTAGGGAAAAGTGACTGGTATTAGGAAAAATGAATTGCTTTAATGTTAAAAAAAAAAAAAAACCAACCCAGGAATTATTTTAAAAAAGAAGTCAAAAGTTCAAGGTGTGCAACATTTAGTCAATTCTAGAAAAAAAATTTTAAATATTTTCTTCAGCTTGGAAACCATTTGAAATGACCATTCGTAAGTCACTTTATTTAAAGTATTAGAGCAAGTTCCAGTTGTTTCTGCTTTTGGTCTCTTGTCAAAATATTCTTTATAAACTGAGTGAAAATATAAATGTTATAGTATATGGTTCAGAAAAAACAATTCAGAAAATGCTATAGGATTCTAAAATGTTTACCTCAAAAATTTGAGTGAAATTTGAGGAAAAGAAGACAAGATGGAACAATAATTTGCCGAGTTGTGTTACTAATGAGAATTTCTGAAGTCCAGTTTTCAGTCAGTTTTGCCACATTTTCTAAGGAAAAGATCTCATTGATCTCTTTTAACTTTTTATAGCTTGATTTCTAGGAAAAATATATTTAAATGACTACAAAGTTTCCCCACCCCAAATCCTGGAACCTGGTAGTCCAGTGCAAGTAACTTCTAGTTTTGCAAAATTTCATTATTGTTACTTTAGCAATATATTTTTTTCCCGTTTTATTAACTGAAGTCCTCACTAGCAGGTAATTCTCTAAACAGGCCAAAGCACACTGATTGAGATTTTAATAGACTAGACTCAATAGTTTAGTCCTGTAATTACTTCTGTCTCCCTAAGTTACTAGCAGATGATCCCATCTTGCATATAGTTGTCCATGATTGAGTTAAGAAAATGTACAATTGTGTTCAACTCAAGCTTCTTGCTGACTTAATCTTTTAATCCTTGTCATTTGGTTTTAAAAGCAGTTTGGTTCTGAGGTAGGACCTGGGCAAAGAGGCCAAAGATATGTGCCTTAACAGAGATGGGGTGTGGTATGGTTGAGGCTATACCCAATGTTCCTTGAATTCATTTATAATTCAAATGTAGAAAAATGTGTATCTTTTGAGCACTGATTTATGTACCTTCTTTAATTGGTCAGTGAAAGCTGTATAACCCAAAGTGTTAACTTAGCTTCAGAAAGCTCACGGACCCAAGCGTTTAATGTCCAATTGCAATGTCGCTTTCTAGCTAGATGGACACAACTATTCTTTTCCTTCTGCTGTTGTTACTAAAATGTAGTAAAATGACATTCGGGTTCCTTTTTGAGAAAGTCAATTGATTTATAATCTCATCCTTCTAAAGCAACTGCTTAGGTTTTTGTTTTCTTTTAGTCTTTGTTTATATGCTTATGTTTTCCTATAGCATTTGTGTTCTCTTTTTCTTAATTTTGGAATAATATTATAACCTTAAGATTTTAAATCTTAATTGTATAGTTTATACATATGTCAATGTGAATCACCTCCACTTCTTTGAGAGAAAGTAGACTGGGTATAAAACTTAAAATGTTTAACCTCAAGCAATTTTAAGCAGTCTGGACATAGTATCAGGGCTGTGGGCACCGTGTCCAAATCTTATTAAGATTCTTACTGACTTCTTAAGGCTCAGCTTAAGCATTGTGGTCCCAGTACTAAACAGAATGCTCCTTTGTGTGATTTAAGTATTCTGAAAAGTGGGTTACCTGACATCCCAAGCTCAGACATTTTTGTTGACTGAGCGCATTGGAGGACTTGCATCCACATGATTTGATCAACTTGGGACTATGTTCCTTCCCTGGAGAAAGTCAGTTGCAACCTGGAGAAGGAAGGACATGCTTAAAGGCCTTAAAAGGCCTGTCTCATGCACTCAGAAGCCACTGAATTGAGCAATTTCTTATTGGACTCAATGTGTGTCTCTCATATTTTCATCCTTTGATTTTTTTGTTTTGTTTTGTTTTTTGCACTGGTTTTCTTGCTAATGAAGGGTAGTGGGAAAGGAAGGCAGAATTATCTAAATACAGCAATTATCAAATTGAAACCTATGCAAACAGTTAGGTTACTGGGTTCAGACTGACCTTGACACTTTCAACCTTCAGATTCCAATTGGTTGGGGTCAGGCACAAATGTCGAGTTGCTGAGTGATTTCCACATGCTTCTTTTGTGTACCTTAACAAGGGCAGACAAAAGATGTTTTTCCAGTGGGACTCACTCTTTATGAGGCCTGACCCTCGAAGGAGCAAATTAATCTCAGGCAATTTTGAGGTTTTAGGGCACTCAGAGAATTTTTAGAGCCTGGAGAAGTCATTTGTTCAATGGCACCTTAAAATAGTTAATTTACCTCCAAAAGGTGAGTTCCTTTTACTATCCTGAGTCTTTTACTTCCTCTGAGATCAGACTTGTTATTTGCATAGCAAAGCATTCCATTTAGCTGGAAGGAGGGGGTGGGGATTGTTAACAAGGAAAGTCACTTTTCCCACAGTCTTACAAAACTCAGCAGTGTGGTAAGTGGGTTTGATCAACATTTCCCCTCCCCTAAACCCTAAAACTTCAGACTGTTTTGCTCATTATCTATCTTGAAATTGACCAGCTTTTCCAGATCGAAGAGTCGTAGGATTTAGCGTATAGCTGCTGAGAGGACAGTTTTGCTAACATTGTTTGTTTTGGCAAGTTAGTACAGACTTGCAGGTGAAAACTCCAGCAAAACAAACAGCAGACTCCACCAACATCCCTCTTCCCCTTTACAGACATCAATTTTTATTTTCAATAAATCATGGAGGAGATTTTTAATAGATTCATGATACTTTGCATGGGACTGATATACATTTACCTTGGTATTATGTTTTCCACCTGGCTGTCCTGCTTATTCTACCCAGACTCATCTATGCACTTAAATCACTGTCTCTGAGGACTTACACTATGTGTATGTTATTGTTTATTTGCTTGTCACTTAGTACTTCTCTAGAACTAGCTCATAATTTGTTTTGACCTAATATGCTGCCCCGTAGAGATCCAACACTACAAATAAAGGGCTTTTCGGCATCTTAAAAGATTGAACAATCCGAGGTTCTAATTAGCATGGAATCTACTGGTGGTTCTTCTAAGTGTCTATTCTTTCCAAATTGGGAGATTAGTCACAGGGATCTGAGGGAAGAAACCAGACGTTTAATAAGCTCTATCAATAAGAAGGGGCAATTACAAAAATACAAAAGTTTTGCTGCTAGAAGATAAACTTACATTTTGAACATTTGTGGGAGAATATAATTCTAGCTATATCTCCCTAGGATCACTAATGTTGTATGACAAGTCATAGTGACCAAAAGAAAAGTAAATTTAGAAAAATGTTGGTGGATGGGAACAACAAGCAAAACAAAACGGTCTGTGGTCTGTTCTGCATTGTTCAGCCCTTTGACAAAATGTCTAGGCTTCTCTAGGAGAAACAGGGCTCCGTGTTGGGTATGTGATGGGGCAGGGGAGAATCAGGAAGGGTCTTCTAGTTTCCCTAGTTTACAGTGAAAATGTATTGAGATTGTAGGTCTATAATTAAATAAAAAAATTTGACAGAATTCATCCCTCTCAACAGAATTTTAAATAGCAAAGTGTTTACTAACATAAACATGCATTTATAAAGAATTCATTTCACAGAGGTGAATGAGAAATGTTAATCAGTACAAAAAATTAATTAGAATGAGTAAGACCTAGGATTTGATAGCACAATGGGGTGACTATAGTCAATAATAATTACACATTTAAAAATAAGGAAGAGAAGCCCGGGTGCAGTGGCTCACACGTGTAATCCCAGCACTTTGGGAGGCCAAGCTGGGTGGAACAAGAGGTCAGGAGTTCGAGACCAGCCTGATCAACATGGTGAAACCCTGTCTCTACTGAAAATACAAAACTTAGCTGGGTGTGGTGGCACCCTGTAATCCCAGCTACTCAGGAGGCTGAGGTAGGAGAATCGTTTGATCCTGGGAGGTGGAGGTTGTGGTGGGTGAGCCGAGATCGTGCCATTGCACTCCAGCCTGGGCAACAAGAGTGACACTCCATCTCATACAAACACACACATACAAAAGAGTGCAATTGAATTTTTGTAACATAAGGGATAAATGCTTGGGGGGATGGATACCCCATTTTCCATGATGTGATTATTATGCATTGCATACCTGAATCAAAACAGCTCATGTGCCCCATAAACATATATGCCTACTATGTACCCACAAAAATTTTTGAAAAAAGAATTCATCCTATCTCTGTGTTGTGCCGAGAAAGTGTTTGTTGTTGTTGTTTTCATTTGTTTTTGTTTTGTTTGACATTGATATGTAGGTAAAAGTCTGGCCATTGGTGGGAAAATTATAATGAAATGAAAATGTTCCCTAGGTTAATTTAATGCAGCACTAATTAAAATTTCTTTAAACATATTTTATGGAACTTGAAAGGTATTCACACGGAGCAATAAATGGGAAAGAAAGTGCCCTCAATTTTAAGGTAACAATAGTCACCTTGTCTTGGCAGATGTATATAAAATGACAATTTTAAAAAGTCTTTGTTATTAGGTTATAATTGAAAAAAGTAGATCAGTGGAATAAGCAGATAGTTATGAAATAGATTTAAAATACGATTAGAATTTAACATCTGACACACTAGGAGTGACCCAGTC